GGCGGCGGCGGCGCGGCGGGCGCCGTCGCTGCCATGTCAGCGAGGGCCTGCCAACGCGGCTGCAAGACCGCCGGATCCACGCCACGGGCAGCAGCCGCCAACGGAAGGGCAGCCACGGGGCCCGAAAGCGCCAAACGCCGCATCGCCCAGCAAGGCGCCAGCGTCACCGGACAGCCGAGCCCGCGCCTCGCTGGCCTCCCAACGCGGGCGGCTGGCCGCTCCGTCCAGCACAACGCGGCGCTGCACGGAAAGATGCCAACGCCGCCGCCGCCAATGCGGCGCTGCACGAAAAGATGCACACGGTCTGCCCGTGCATCACCTCGAGGAGGATGAAAAGCGGAAAAATCGGGTTCGGCGTCCAGGGCGGCATTGCCATCTCGACCTCATCCTTGCGCATGTCCTCGGTCACTGCGCTCATGAACACTGCGGCGCCCCATGTGCACAGCTTGCGGCTCCAAGGAGGAACAAGGTTTAAGCCCGACTGCGCAGCCGTGCCCAACTTCTCCACCGAAGGTACCGCCGCGGCCTCCACCACGTCCGACTCGACGTCGTCATCCGCGTCCCGCCGCAGCGCGGCGCCAGCACCCAAGCGAAGCCCCCGCCGCGCTGCCCTGAGCTCGCTGGGGGCCGCCGTGCCGACTTCCAGGCCCTCGGCAGCCGCATGCAGACCAACAACGTTGCGACGCAGCCGATTGAGGTCGCTCGGAGTGCGACCCGCCAACACGGCGGCTACAATACCGCAGGCGCGCACGCCGCCAGCTGCGCCCCCACCTTGGGATCGCTGAAGAACGCCTCGATCTGCTTATTCAGCTGCTAGGAGGAGGAGGAGGAGGAGGAGGAGGAGGAGGAGGAGGAGGAGGAGGAGGAGGAGGAGGAGGAGGAGGAGGAGGAGGAGGAGAGGAGGAGGAGGAGGAGGAGGAGGAGGAGGAGGAGGAGGAGGAGGAGGGGGAGGGGGAGGGGGGGGAGAAGGAGGAGGACGAGGAAGGGGAAGAGGAGGAGGAGGTCGAGGATGAGGAAGGGGAGGAGGAGGAGGAGGAGGAGGAGGAGGAGGAGGAGGAGGAGGAGGAGGAAGAGGAGGAGGAGGCGGAACGTGGGCTGGAGGCGCAGTTTTTCTCGCCGCCTATCGCCCCACGCCCCCGCCTGCCTCATGTCCTGAAGCACGGCAAGACATTTCGGGCTCCTTCCGAGGAGCCGAAGGCGAAGGATCGCTTCTCGGCCCCTCGATGGCCGATGTCGTAGTACATGGAGGCCCCGCCGAGCCTTGGGCCGAACCTGCAGGACCAGACGACGGGATGGCCGAAGGGCCGCGCGTGGATCTGGAAGAGGTACTGCTCGACGATGAGCAGTCGGAAAATGACGTGGTCAATGATCTGTCGGACGAGGATGTGGTAAATGATGGCGGTCAGTCAGCATAGAATGGTGCAGCACTCCACGAGCCAGCAATTGCCTCTGAGCTCCTCGCAGGGGCAATCGAAGTGCCGTCCGCGAAGCTTCATTGAGCGCATGTGCCTCAGGATAGCTCGGGGCCCGCGCGAACCGATGAGACTCCAGACGATAGTGGTTGAGCATCGCTACAATGGATGCCGCAGGCCCAGTCCGACACAGTCTACCATGCGGTGCAGCAGGGAGGTTGGCTCTCACAACCAGCGCAACAAAAGTGGTGGGGCCCCCCACACTCGCATACGCAATGGGCACCTGAGTCTCGGTCATCAGGACATCGACATTCATAAGCACATTCTGCGTTCCGCTGCATACGAGTACGCGTGACCCAGCCACCCAGCATAGTCTTCAGAACAAAAAGCTTCCACGCTCGCGGGATGGTCTCCATCAGTCGCTTGGCTTGGGCAATGTCAGTTCAGTTCAGTTCAGTTCAGTTCAGAAACCTTGCGTCCGGACGGCGCGCGAGCAGGGTGAGACCGTGAGCAGCCAAACTGCTCATGAGAGGAGCGTGCTGTATTGGCATCGGCCGCTCGTGTTAACACACACGGAGGGAGGAGGAGGAAAAGGAGTAGGAGGAGGAGGAGGAGGAGGAGGAGGAGGAATACGAGGAGGAGGAGGAGGAGGAGGATAAGGAGGAGGAGGAGAGAGAAGAGATGAGAGCCACAGCTACGCACTCAAATACCATGCGCTAACTTGCTGTTTCCACGAGCGCGCTGCTCCGCCATCCGGGCGGAAGAAAGCAGCAACGCGCTCGCGTGAGCCCACAGCAGACACACACAATTCTTCATGACCATGTGGCTCCAAATATCTCCAAGTTTGTCTCGGCCTGCCACGCTGCCGCGGCCCGTCCGGTCGCTTCAATTCGATGCCACCTGGGCAGGATATCGAGCAGCGCACTGGGTCAGAGTCTGTCCCATGAATTCCAGCTGTCGCCTGCAGATGTCTTCGCTCAGCGGCCCCTGTCCGGCCATGGTCAAAACAGTTGCGTTAGACACTCTGCTCAGAAATGACGGCGGAATTCGCAAGATCTTCCTGAGGCAACGGGCTTGGAAGGCGTCCAGCCTCCTCCCTTCCAACTTGTTCAGACAAGCGGCGAACAAACAATATTGCAGCTTAGACACAATGCGAGCATTAAAATTGCTATCTTCCTCCTGCGACTCAGTGATGAATGCGACCATACCGTATGCAGCGCCTTGAACTCACTGGAAGCGGCCCCTATCCGACGGCTGAGCTCCGCTGCGATCCGGTCGTCAGCTAACAACTGCAGGTGACATCTCCATACCTCTGCGTCGCCGCGTAGATAGAGCCAATCGACCAGCACATCTTAGTCTCCCGTCCAGCGGGTACTCGGAGACCCTGTCGCCGCCGCTTCCAAGAAACTTGCAAAGGGTGGAGATTTCCAAAACGGCGTTGCCAACTGTGGAAGGTTCCACCAGGTGGCACAGCCGTCAGATACCAGCACATCACGCAGTCTCGGTAGAAGCACTTTCCACGACGGACATGTGATGAGACTCGTACGCATATGCACCGCAGCCGCCATCGCATACATTGACGAAATCCGTTGGCCACCAAACTCGCACAGATTGAAACAATCACCCGTCCTGAGCATGCTACTAGGTGATCGAATTCGGCGCGCCACATGATGCCGCTGACTCTGACTCTGTGCCCAACTGTACGGTACTTACTGTGCCACATATGACATAACAGGAAAAACCCTCTCATGATTCAACTGCAACAGAACGGACTGCGGGGCGCAAGACGCAGTCAGCTCCACCAGCTGGCTGTGCATCTTCGAGGATGGTCCCTCCCATTGAGCTGAGAGAGACTGCTGCCCCAGGGCTAATCTGGAAGCCTAGATAAGTACTCACATCAGAGATCCCAAACCCTCGCCATTCCGCTTGCGCATCTTCCAGTGCCCTGCGCAGGAGGAGGAAGACGAGGAGGAGGGAGGAGGAGGAGGAGGAGGAGAAGAAGGAGGAGCGCCAATACTTCCTGAGTCCACGCATCGCTGGGCACTCAATGCCTCGTGGGTTTCAGCCAGGGGTAAGGCCTAGACGATCCAAGCGGAGGCGGAAGAATCGAATAATTGTTTGGCATGTTGGTTCATGCCGCTTTGACGGCATCTAGCTGCTGCGGCAGAGTTGAAGGGCGAACGCCTTTATACGAGGTCATTCCTTAGCAACGTGGTATATATGATCCCGGGCTCTGGGCCCACGGGACCCCCCCAGATGGCATGGTCCCAGGATTCCTCGGGCCCCCCCGAGATTGGATGGGGGGGGGACGACGACGACAACGACGACGACGACGACGACGACGACGGCGACGACGACGACGACGACGACGACGACGACGACGACGACGACGACGACGACGGCGGCGGCGGCGGCGGCGGCGACGACGAAGACGCCCACTTCGGCTCCCTGAAGCACTGCAGCACCACGCCACACCCAGAGGGAGGCGACGACGGGGAAGACACCGTCGACGACGATGCTCCTCCTCCTCCTTCTCCTCCTCCCTCCGTCCACCTCCCCGTCTCCCCTCCTCGTTCCCTGGCCTTCTCTTCCCTACCTTGCTCACCCCTCCCACTTCCTCTCCCCATGTATCCGCCACTCTCCGGAAGCAGAGGACGACGACGATGGCGAAGACGCCGACGATGTCGTCCACAGGGGGGCCACCACCCCCACAGGGGGAGGGCCACCACGCCACGCCCACAGGGGGGGGGGCATCGCGCGGGGGGGGGGGGGGGGGGGGGGCGATGGCATTAGCATTGGGGGGGGGCCCAAGCCCTGGACCATATATACGATAGAAACTGAAAACTGTTGCTAACATTGCATGTGTCCGGGTGTGGTCAATCGCGGGATATTGCACAGGAGGGGCACGGCGAGACGACAGCTCGGGGACGTCAGACGAGGTAAGTGAGGCGGGGACGGTTTTAATAGTGTGCTGTGCTATCGGGGCGGGAGCACCACGGTGGTCTATCCCCGAAATCGTTTTTAGGTACGGCCAGCGAACGCTCGGAGGGGCCCGACAAAAGATTTTCCGCGCCAAGTCCTATCTCGCTTTCATGCCCCGGGGGGTAGAACAATCGAACCACGACCGCATGTGACGCTCAATTAGGAGCTCAAGCTTATCGGGATCGGCGAGACTCGTAAGAGTACGCATGTACAGTCCTTGCAGCTTGGGCCGACGACCCTCCAGGGCGGCCTCTCGCACGGCGCTTCGCGCACGGCTCTGGGCGAGGCGAAGCAGCTCAGAGGAGAGTGGGGGGTGCGACATCGGCACAGCGGAGCGAAGCTGCACATAGTATTGAACAATCGACTGGCGACGCTGCCAACACGAAGCACACCAGCTACCATGGATGTGGTCGACTGCTCCAAGGCCCCTGGCAACACTCCAGGCCTCCGCGGTGTCCTTCAGACGGCGGTGAACGGAGGATGAAGAGGAGGATGAAGAGGAGGAGCAGGAGAGGGTGGACGACGACGGCGGCGGAGGACGGAGGAGGACGGAGGAGGCAGGCTCTCCCCCGATGTTGCCTCCAAGCCTCGCGCGGGAGAGCGGTCCTTGTCGGCGATGTCCGTCCACGGGGCGTTGTCCACGATCTCGCGCAGGTCCTTTGGCGGTCTCAGAGCGGTGCGGTGACAGACCGTGCTGCGACGTCGAAACCACAAGACTGGGTGTTGCTAGAAGTGCCCCTGGCCCAAGGTACCCCCAGGAATTTCATGGAGGCCCCCACGGCCTCCAGAGCACCTTTCACGAGGTCCAGAAGGCCCCAGGGGCTCCACACTTGAACGAAAAGCTGGGGGCACCTTGGGCCAGGGGCACCTTTAGAAATCTCCGACAAGAGACCTCACTGCACGGTCCGCCACCACACCGTTTTGGGACCACCCTGGCCCCAATCGCCCGAGACGTCCAAACCGTGAGGTCACCCCGAATCCCCACTTCGGGTCGGACGAAAGGAGGGGTAGTCAAAGGGGGGCTAGCGAATCAGCTCGCGTAACTGATTTTCCTGGCGCCCCCCCCCCTCGCTGGCGGCGCCAGTGTCGAGGAAGGCGCCCGGCGGCGTTGCCGAAACCAGCTGCATGCAGCAGACTTCGTACCCCCCCGCCTTTCGTCCGACCCAGCCACTGGCTCACCACACGGTGTGACCACCGCACCGCCTGTGGGCCCCGAGTCCTCCTCGGTGACGGCGTCGCCCCCGGGCCTCCAGGAGAGCCAGCAGCGCAGGTGCTCGTCGGCGATCACGTCCTGCCACAAATCCTGGCGGGAGCCGGGGCCGATCTGTGAGGGCGGGCGTTTTCTGGAAGTTTCAAAATCACGAGCAGACGTTTCGAGCCCTCTGCCCCGAGACGAGACGACCCTCCTCCAGACCGCCACTAGGCCCCGAAGAGACCTCGAGATACCTCAAGAGGCCCCGAAGAGGCTCCCGAGGGGACTCCAGGAGGCCCAGAGAGGCCCTACAAAGCCCTCCAAAGGCCTCCAAGAAAGCTCCAAGAGTCTCGGAACATGCTTCCCTAAAGGCTCCCAAGAAGCCCCCAAGACTAACACCCGACAGCCCTCCAGGAGGCCCCCAAGAGGCTTCCCAACATACCCAAATGCCAGAAATAATACAATATGGGCCATCGGAATGAGCGAAGCGACTGAATTCGGCGGGTCCCTTGCGGACCTCAGTCGGATTAGGCGTCGAAGGTAGATGGTGAACTGGAAAATGATAGATGAATGAGATGCATCGTGCATGCATGCTGGGAGCGGCCTCGCGCATTCCGCCGGCCCGAAGGGGCTAATATTTTATCAAGTCTCCTGCGGCACGTAGAAATACGAGTGATCCGCGCTCACAGGGCCACGAAAGCTTCAATTCGGCACACCACTCACGCACTTCCTGCCCACCCCAGGCCCCTGATGCACGTAAGAACGCTAGGGATTCGCAGCTCGAGTCTCCTCGAGGCCTCAACTCAACACACCCCTCACATATTGCGCATCATGAGTGCTCAGTTGGCCCCCAGGACGGCTCCTTGAGGCCTCAATTCGACACACGCCTTACGAATTTCGCGCACATTTAACCTCCAGGGGCGATCCACTTGTCCTCAAGAGGGAGCCTCAATTAGGCACACCCTTCACGCACTTCGTGCCTCATAGACTGTCAAGGGCCCTCAGCTGATCAATCAGACAGCTCAAGGGAGCTCCAAATCGGCACACTCCTCACGCACTCCTTCGCCCATGGACCCCAAAGGCCCCCTGTTGGCTCCGAAGACCGCCTGCCACCACAAAGGAACGCCACGGTGGCCCTGAGAAAAGCATGCTACGAAAGGCTGGCGCCGACCCTCGTCAAAACCAAACCCCGAAAACCCACTGATGCTAACATATACGCGCAAATTTCCCGTCGTGGCCCGCCGTGACTCCAGCTGTGCGGGCTCAATAACCATCCACCTACATATCCAGCGGTACGTTTTCCAATCCCAGCGTTTGTCATAGATTTCGGCCGCGGGAGCCCGGTCACAGGCCCAGGGGACCCTCAAAAATCAACCCGGGCCGGGAAAACTGGCCCAGAGGAAAGGGTCGGGACCTCTGCAGTCGCAGTTTAAAAAGAAACGATTGTTGCATGCCCGGGCACGCAGCTCGATGATGACATGCCCTCGACCTCAGGCCCACGGATATGATCCTGACCCGAAGAACTTCACGCTCTGAGGGCCCGCATGGCCGCGTGCGGTCTCCTCTTCTTGTCCTACGGTCTTTCCCTTCCGCCTGTGCCGCAAAATCCCACCAGCCCTTGAGGGCGTGGGTGGTCTAGGGAGTTTCCTCTTCCACCCCTTCTTCCCCTTCGGGGCTCGCAAGGGTGCCCCAAGATGGCCCCAAGAGGTGGCCAGGAGGCCCCAAAAGGCCCGCAAGAGGCTCCCAGGATGCCCCCAAGAGGCTCCCAAGAGACCCCAAAAGGCCCCCAGAGGCCCCCCAGAGGCACCCAAGACGCTCCAAGAGGCCTCGGCGAAATGCCGAAATCACTGATGTTACTCAGGTTTTGGCCACATGTTGGCCTCTTGGGGTGGGGGCACTGATTAAGATGACTCCAAAAGCGCCTGGGAGAGCCCGAGATGATCTCCAAGATGGCTCAATCTATCCCAAGATGCCTCGAGATGGCTCCCACGATGCTCCAAAATGCCCGTCTACGGCTCCAAGACGGCTACAAGTGATCAAAGAGCTCCCCCAGGCCCCGAATAGGCCAAAATTCTTCCAAACCCTTGGGGAAATCACATGAAAAGTAAGGATACAGGGCTTGACCATGAGGTAATCAGCTGAGAATCCTACTCTTAGGATACCGTCGGCGACGTATCGAGGCATCCCACAACTCATCCCTCGATGGCAAGCGAGAGGATAATTAGGTAAGAGAGGAGCCATGGCAATGGAAGATGGATCATAGAAGGACGTGGCCTTTGCCCGTTACTAAGGTCCGCGGGAGGAGGTGCAGGGCCGAGGAGGCGAGGCAGGCGGAGGAGGCGGCGAGGCGCATCCCTATGCGTGGAGCAGAGGCTTGTACAGGCTGGCCACCACCGATGGTTTGAAGCCGGAAGCCGGGACGTCTGGATGAAGGATGGGAGTCGAGGATCTAGGCTCGGATGATGGGATAGGTGTGACTCCGACCTCTTTTCGCAGGCTGCTGATTTTCGCAGCCCTGTTTTCAGGCTGCGGGCTAACTTGGATGCCCGCACCCCCCTGGCAGAGCTCAGCTGACTGAGTCATTCAAGGTCTTCGACCGACCGACCGACCGACCGCCTACTCCTCCTCCTCCTTATCCTCCTCATCCTCCTCCTCCGGATCATCATCATCGTCATCGTCATCGTCATCATCATCAGCAGCATCATTATCCCCATCACCATCACAATCATCATCCTCACCACCACCACCACCAGCATCATCATCATCATCAGCAGCATCAGCATCAGCATCAGCATCAGCATCAGCATCAACATCAGCATCAGCATCAGCATCAGCATCATCATCATCATCATCATCATCGTCGTCGTCGTCGTCGTCGTCGTCGTTATCATCATCGTCATCACGCTCACTATCACCACCACCACCATCGCCGTCATCATCATACACAATAGCATCGTCATCGTTATCACAATCAACCTAGTCATCATCATAATCATGAGCATCATCATCATCACCATCATCATCATCATCCTCATCATCATGATTACCATGGTCATACATACGACTATCATCTCAATTATGATCATCATCACCATCATCATCATCATCATCATCATCATCATCATCATTATCACCATGAATAGCATCATCATCACAATCATCATCATCATCATCATCGCCATCATCATGAACATGTTCACGATCCACATCATCAGCATCATCATCATCGTCGTCACCGTCATCATCATCATCCTCCTCATCATCGGCAGCATCATCACCATCACCATCACCATCACCATCACCATAATCATCATCATCATCATCATCATCATCATCATCATCATCATCATCATCATCATCATCATCAAAATCATCATCCTCATCCTCATCAGCATCATCATCCTCATCCTCATCCTTATCCTCATCCTCATCCTCATCATCCTCATCCTCCTCCTCCTCCTCCTCCTTCTCCTCATCCTTCTCCTCCTCCTCCTCCTCCTACTCCTCCTCCTCCTCCTCCGCCTCCTACGCGGGGCCGCTTTCGGCCGCTCCTAAGCGACCGCCCTCGGCTGCCCACTTTATGGTGATAAATTTACCTTTCAGCGACCCCGCCCAGGCTTCGACCGCGCCACGCGATCACCGGCGCCGCGACGAAAAGAGCTTACACGAGCGCGGGAGCGGGGATCGTCCCTTGGAGGCCGTGGTAGGGGCTGTCCTTCGCGAGAGTGCTGGGCGGTTGGGTCGCGAAGCGGGGGCGGGCTCTGTGAGAATGGGGGTGGGGGGGCCAGGGCCCCCTTCTCATCCCCCTCCTCCACCTCCCCCTCCCCCTCCTCCTCCTCCTCCTCCTCCTCTTCCGTCCGCCCTCGTCCTCCCTCGTCCTCTCTCCTCCTCCACATCTTCCTCAACCGGCCATCTGGCGCCGTGGCGTGGGGGACGAGGGGGGGGGTTCACTGAGCAGCGTGGAAAGCATGTGCGGGTGCTTGATTCGTTTCCTAGAGAGGGGGGGGGCTGAAACTGAGGTGGACCCCCAGGGCCCCGAAACGCTGACAACGAGCTGACGCGGGTACTTTTCAATCGATGGGAGATCGCTTGCTGGACCAGGCTGACGATGAGCTGGGCCGCTCTTACACCCAGGAGACATGCCTGGGAGGGAGGGAGGAAGCGCGATATCGCGCACTCGCCTCGCATGCGTAACTGGAAGCGGCGCTCCGTCCCGCGCGCCTGGAAAGAAACACACACCACCCACGTCCCGCGCAAGGGCACAACCCGTCGGCGTTGGCCTCGACCACGAGGGCCTGCACGCGCCTGGCTCCTGCCGTGACGGCCTGGGCGTTGGCTTCCCCGACGCCGCGAAGAGCCAGTTCAACCTCGAGCGACACCCGCTGTCCGACAGCGCGGATCCTAAATGCTATCCTGGCTCAGGCCACTAGTGGCCCGAGCCGCATGGACGCTGGGTTTTTCTGACGCCGCGCGGAGCGTTCGGCCTCGAGCGGCACCCGCTGTCCGACAGCGAGGGTCCCGAGAGTCCTAAGTAGTGGCCTGGCTCAGGCCGCCCGCGGCCTCCGGCCTCGAACGCCCGCACTGGCGTCGCCGCCGCACCGACACGGCGCGAACCGGGCTCAAACCATCTCGGGGCCCAGGATACCCCTGGCCAGAGGTGGCGGTGGTTAGAGGAAGGAGGAACTGTTTGACATGAAGTCCGAGCGGGGTCTTGGATCTGCGCTGAGCCCCCCTCAATGGCGCGCGGAACGCGCTAGGGACGGCGCCGGAGGCGCCGCAAAGGGGGGCACCGCGCAGATACATAATCATAATCAGCGCGGACCTCCGAAAGTTCACGAGTTCATGTTGATGCCGCTTTCTCTTATTCGAAGAATGCCCCTGGCCAGAGGTGGCAGCGGTGTACACATACATATACATATGTATATATATATATATGTATACATACAGATACATACATACATACATACATACATACATCCATACATACATACATACATGCATGCATACATACATACATGCATACCTACATACATACATACATACATACATCCATCCATACATACATACATACATGCACATATACATATACATTTACATATACCTAGTTATACATGTACATATAAATAGACATATACATACATACATGTATACACACATACATAAATACGTACATACATGCATGCATGCATACATACATACATACATACACACGTACATACATACAAACATACATACATACATACATACATACATACATACATACATACACACACATACATACATACATACATACATACATACACACATACATACATACATACATACATACACATATATATGTATATATACTTGCCCCAGATGGTGATACATGTTCATGTTTTCGTGACGTTGTTCCTAGTATGATTATTATGATTACTAGTACTCTGATTTTCGTATCATTAGTTCTCTTATTCTTCATATTCGTCTTCATCTTCTTCACCGTCCATTCTTTGGCGGCGTCGCATCATATTCCTCGCCTGCTGCGGCCGCTCGTGCTCCTTCCTCTCAGCAGGAGGACGAGGAGGACGAGAAGGAGGAGGATGAGGAGGAGGAGGGAGAGGACGAGGGGAGGCGGAGGGGGCAGGATAAGCAGGAGTGGGATGGAAGGAAAAACATGGAAACGAGAAGCAATCGCATGCAACCTGTGTCATGGGCAAGCAGCAGTGTTTAGGCTCAGACCCCCACTAAATCGCCACTTCTTGGAGGCATGGGCGACCTAGCGAAGAAAACTGAGTCGGTGGTGCACATGAATTTATTGTGTGGCGGCCTTGCGCAAATGCTTTCCTTGCTGGAAAAGTCTTACACGAGTTGTTCCATGGAAGAAGACATATGCAACACATATACGTCTGATGGTTTGGGCACGGAAGCCCGGTGGAACACATATACTCCTGGTATTTGTTGGCTTTCTAATGAAAGGCCCCCCTCCTCCTCCTGCTCCTTCTCCTTCTCCACGCCCTCCAACGACAATGTGCCAGGCAAGAAAACCTTTGAAAACATAGATGTTCCTCATGTATATGATGATTTGGGTAAGGGAAACGTGTGAGCACCAAGCTATTGTTTGATGGTTCTGGTACGGAAACCATATGAAAAGACAGACAACATGGATATTTGGGGATGTTCGCTACGGAACCGCGTGCAAACACACATGTTCCTGATATGCTAAGGGTTTTCTGGGGAAGGGCGCCCCTACTCCCCGTGCTCCCCTAACCTCCTTGCAGCGCGCCCGCATCCAAAAACCTGGCAAACATACGGAAATATGTGCTATCGCCAGGTTTCCTTACGACAACCTCTAAACATATCAAGGATATCAATGTGCTCCCCAGGTTTCCTTACCAATACCTTCAAACATATCAGGGACATCTTCATTTTCACAAAAAGGTTTCCTCACACAAACCTTCAAACCAGATTAGGAGCAACTTCAAACCATATTTAGAGCATCTGTGCTTTCACCAGGTGTGCCTACGCCGCTCCTCCTTATGTTTCCTCCTCCCTGCATTTTCCTGCTGCTGCTCCTCCTCCTCCTCATCATCATCCTCTTCCTCCTGCGCGCTCCTGCTACCGAGTGAAAAAAAGGAGGAGGGGGAGGTGGAGGAGGAGCAGGAGCAGGAGGAGAAGGAGGATATAGCAGGAGCGCGCAGGAGCAGGAGCAGGAATCTATAGATAGGGAGGAGAGAGGAGAAGGAGGAGCGGCGCAGGCAAACCTTGTGAACAAACACGCAGCTATTCCTGATATGTTGAAAGGGCTTGGTAAGGAAACCTGGTCAACACACAGCTATACCTGATATGTGCAGGGTTTCTGAATGCGGGGGCGCTGCAAAGAGGTTGGGGGAGCAGGGGGACGAAGGGCGCCCTTCCCCAGAATACCAACAAATATCAAGAACATGTGTTGTCACATGGCTTCCGTACGAACGCCTCGGAAACAATCACAAACTGCCAGACCCTTTACAAGAACTATCAAGCATACATACATGTGTTTCCACAGGCTTCCCTTACCAGAACCACAAAGCATATCAGGAACATCTGTGTCTTCAAAGGTTTTCCTGCCTGGCGCTTTGTCCCTGGGGGCTGTCGAGGAGAAGAAGGAGCAGGGGGAGGAGGAGGAGGAGGAGGAGGAGGAGGAGGAGGAGGAGGAGGAGGAGACGGTCCGACATTCCCTCAAAAACAATAGATATCAGGAATATCGGTGTTTACATATTACGACAACCTCCAAACACACACCAACGTACGTATACACATATATACACACATATATAATCTCTGTGTTGTCATATGGCTTCCGTACCAAAACCATTAGATATATCATGAATAGCCGTGTTTCAACAAGGCTTCCTCCATAGAACAACCCCTGTAAGGCTTTTCTAAAAGGAAATGATGTGTAAGGTCGCCACCACAGGAATTCATGGCACGGCCGCTCCCGCAGGAGGAAATATGTATGATGACAGAGGGGGCGGCCATAACTGTATATATGATGAAGAAGCGGCGCGAACATGTATGATCATGTGGGGGGTGTACCATATAAAAATAGAGAGAGGAAACAACAAAAAACAAAAAAAAAAAATATAAGCTGACAAAACATAAAACAAGGAAACACGATAAACAAATATAGATCTAGAGAAAGATAGAGAGAGAGAGAGAGCGAGAGAGAGAGAGACAAAGAGAGAGAGAGAGAGAGACTGAGAAAGAGAGAGAGAGAGAGAGAGACACACAACAAAAGAACAGCCTGCTCTGGAGCCGCGCGGACGCGTTCCTCGCTGGCAGGGCCGCCAACGTGCCGCAGCAACTCCAAGGGCCTCTCTTCCATGGTCGGCTCCCCCGGCAAAGCGTCGCCAGCTTTGCGGTAGCCCGACGCCACCACCGCTGCCGCGAGCTCCGGCTCCCTGGCGGCCAGGCGCGCTGCTGGTGCTGCTGCGTCGTGAAAACAAATCACGGCGAGAGGTTTTTGGCAATCTTCTGTCTCTGGGGGCCGTCGCTGCGCCGCAGTCACGTTAAACAACGATTCGGGGTGAACAACCAGCAGTGGGGAATGGGTCGAAACCTGCAGGGGTCTACGTCTTGAACAAATCACGACGTCGGAGCTCTGGGGCGACCCTGCGGCTTGCCACCACCACCACCAGCACGTCGACACCGTTGCCACAGCCGCCACCACTGGCACTGCCGCTGCCACTATCAGCGCCACTACAATCACTCCAACCACCACTACCACTGCGACCACTACTGATACAGGAAAACATTCACTACAACTGCTGCTGCTACTAAATGAAGGTGTTGCTGATACTGCTACTGCTACTGATACTGCTGATTATGGTGCTGATGTGGCCACCAAGGCGGCTGCGCGTAACAGTGGGAGTAGGGCCCTGAGAATAAACAGGTGGATGTCTAGTGGATTCTAACTCACGGAAGCAAGTAAAACACGAGCGAACGAAACGGGAGGTTTCTGAGATATGGTTTGCACCACAAGCTGTGTGGCTGTCGAACATGATCCCCTGATGGGGTACAGGTCCAGCCAGCGCCTGAAAAAAAAGGTTGCTGAGAAACTGCGCGTTGAGGCATTGATTCGCCCGTCTCATCAACCGATCGCCCCATTAACACCAACCAAAAACTGAACAAAGCATCAAGCATGCAAATTCCTCCGCCGTCGATCCCTGTAGCAATCATCCAACAAATCTCGAAGCATGGCGAAACCCATCGCGAAGCGACATCTGTCTTGCTCTCTTCACGGTGGAAACAAACAAGTATACATGATTCCCCAGCGGGTGGCTCACACGTTACAGGACTAGTGAGGAGGGAGGGGGGGCGACCTATTTTCGTGGCGCTAACTGGGTTCAGCCGCCTTGTGGTCCGCCGCCCGCCCAGTTTGGGGCGGGAGAGTGCAGGGTGAAGGGAGGAGAAGCTTGCCAGCTCAGCCTGATCAGCTGCAGAAGCGGAGACGGGAGGGAGGAGGACGAGAGGAAGGACGAACGAGCGGCGAGCGGGGGATTCACGCGTTTACGGGAAATCCTAAACCAGATTAGATTCCCCAGCGGGTGGCCCACACGTTACGGGACCAGTGAGAAGGGAAGGGAAAGGCGACCCTATTTTCGTAGCGCAAAATGGATTTAGCCGCCTTGCGGTCCGCCGCCCACAAGAAGGGGAAAAGCCACGGGTCGCGCCTCTTGGCCCTATCCTTCCACTTCGGTGCGTACACGCTGCCAACCTGGCCGTCGAGCCACCAAGGGGCCCGCGCACGCTGCCCGCACGTTGGCGAGGTCCTGGTGCAGGGCAACCGGCCGGTTGTCATTCAAGAAATGCACGGCGGAGAGGAGGGCCAACCGCAGACGGGCACTCCCAACGCGTGTGCCGAAGGCGGGTCTGAAATCGGCGCGCGAGGGCGATGACAAGCCAAAGCTGCCGCCAGCTGGGCGGCCCCCCTTGGCCGCCCCGACGCGGCGCCGCGACGAGCGAGGGAAAAAAGGGGGGGCGCACTGCTCGGCGGACACCAGCCCTGTCGCTGGGTCGGCCGCTCCGTGCTCACGCATGCAGGGGCACAGGCGCAGTCGGCACGCGCCCTGAGGCATGCTGCTGCGCGCGCGCCAGGAGGAAACACGGAAGGCACCTCCCTTGGACTATCAACCAGGCCCTCCTCTGCGATGGCCCCCGCCCGAGCCAGGGCAATGCTTGCCACTTCTTGTTCTTCGCTCGAAACGAAGCTGTGACTGTGACCTTCCACTTCCTGGCCCGCAGCGAAGGCGCGTTAGTGGCAATTGACTGCGCCCCCTATCCCCGGAAGCTGAATAAGCGCAGCGTACTTGCGTGCCCCTCTTGTCTCTTCTGCGTCTCTCCGACAGCATGTGTACCGCGAGCAGTGCAGTGTAGCATAGATGCGAACAGAGGGTGCATGCATAATTGCATTGCTTCCCATGGCACGTTTGGCTCAAGGCTCCGAGCGGAGTCAGAAAAGGGTGCATCTTTCCTTTACCCTACCTCTTTACTTACTCTTCCCTCTTATCATTCTTTCTCTTGATTGTCATTCTTTCTCTTGATTGGCGGCCAGAGAGAGAGCCAGGGAGACAGGGGGAGGGAGCAGAATAGCCAAGAGGGTGAGCAATGACCGAACCAGGAGAGGGCCCTCCTAGGGCGCCGCTCCAACAACTGGGGGCTGCTCCGGGAACTGCTCACTCAGCGGGGATTGGAGCCCCGACAGCGGACGACGACGGAGCCTCGGCAGACAGCTTTGCCGACGCCCTGGGAGGGGCAGCAGAAGCCCCGGCTGCTGGTCGCTACGGCCCCGTTGTGGGTCGAAGGAGCCGCTGGGACGAGACTCCAGAAATGGCAGCAGCACGAGGAGCTGCAGAGGCTGACGCGGCAGCAGCGGCCGCTTTGGCGGCCATGAACCAGGCCTTGCCTGCAAGCGCGGGATTGGACCCCGCAGAACAGCAGGAGCTCGAAGAACTTCGGGCCCTGGAGGCCCAACACCAGGCCCAACAACAGCAACAGAAAGCCGAACTCGAACGGCTCCGGGCCTGGAGGGCTTCTCTGCCTCCAACCCCGCCTGGCCTCGGCGGCGCGCCCGGCACTCCAGCGAGGGGGCCATACTACAGCGAGTACGCTCAAGGGCGTTTGCCCGGCACGCCGTCGTTGGCGGAGCGGCGCGCCGCGCTTGGCGGAGACCTTGGCGCCGCCGCTGGGGGGCCCGTGGCCTTCGGGGGCCAGCCAGGAGGATCGGTACCTCCAACGCCGCAGACTCCACGGTTCGGCGCACGAGCGCCGCCTGAGCAGCTAGGCGGACCGACGCTTTCACCAGAGAGCCGGGCCGTCCGGCGCCTCGCCTCAGAGCTGGACCACAGCGTCGCGACAGGCGGCGGCGAGCCCCAGCGCCCAGAGGCCGGTGTGGGTTCGACGGATCCCATTGAAGTAATGGCCCGGTCGGTCACTGCACTGGTTACGGCCATGCAGGAGCAGCAGTCTGGGTCGACGCTCAAGTGGGAGCGAAAACGTCCAACGGTCAAGGCCGAGTCGGCCGAAGGGCTCCTTCACGAAGAAGTAGTCCTCGAGAACGTGTATGCTGAACTGGGTTACAAAACGTACCGCAAGAAATGGGCTGTTTTCAGGCCTGCCTTGGACGGCAGGGCCAGAGAGACCGTAGAGCTAGAGCTCGAAGAACGCGGAATCAGCCCAGACACGATCAGCAAGATGAGTGAACCAACGCTGAAAAACCTGTACGAGTATCTCATCGCTGTTCTCGAGAAAACAGTGTCCCTCACCCCAGAAAAGAAAGCGGAAATCGCAATGGCTGCGATGGAAAAGGTGCGTATGCCAGCAAACAGCGGCCCCGGCGGCGCTGAGAAATTCATTCAGGACTACAAGCATGCGTATCTTTTGCAGCTCAGAGCGAAACTGGTGGAAAACACTCCCATCGCAATCACGATGCGTCTGTTCGACTATAAGTCGCGTCTCGCACCAGAGATCCAGAAATACATCAAGGGATTGCCTGTGTCAGAGCAGCCCCAGACGCTAACGGACATGCACGACACTGTCCGGCGCTGGGCAGAGAAGGAGCGGGCTGGGCAGCCCAACCTGACCAGGCGCGAGCGCCGAGAACAGGTGCAGTCGCTGCGCGACCAGGGGAGCGGCAACAACACCAACCCGCAAGCTGCTCCAAAAGCCCAGGCCAACTCTTCGTTGGCTCCCCCTGGAACCGTGCCGGTTCCAGTTGAGTACCTCCAGAGTCTGTTTCAGAAAGGGGGCTTTGCGCAAGCCTTGTCCCGGCCTGGTGGAGGCAAAGCAGGGGATCGGAACCCCAAGGGCCCGGACGCCGGGACTGACTGGGCAACGAAAACTTGCTACACGTGCGGGGGCAAGCACCTAGAGAAACTGAGGGGCAAGGAGCATTGCCCGAACAAGATAGCAGAAGAGAAGGGCACTGCTGCCCAAAACAAAGCCTCCGGCGTCAAGTGCGCAATGTGGGTTGATGCCAGAAAGACAGAGTGTGGAGGATCTCACTCGTGGGAGGAGCACAAGATTGCCCTCCAGAGGTGGGGGCCCAAGAAGGACGGAGGAAAGGGGGGCAAAGGAGACAGCAAAGGCAAGAAGGGGAAGGAGGGGAAAGGAGGAAAAGGAGAAGGAAAGGGAAAGGATAAGCTGCACGAGATGACCGAGGATGACTTTCGAGTCTTCTTGGGCGCTCTGGGCTCTTCTGGGGCCAACGCCGGCCAAGACGCTCTGTGGGCAATCACGGAGTGCACGGCGGATCGGGGCCGCCACGGAGGGCCAAGCGCAGCGGCAAGCGAGAGCGCTGCCGCCAAGTGCGCGCTGATGCATTGCTACCGCGCTGCGTCCGGCACACCTGAGTCTGAGAGCACCCCTGACGGGGCAAACACAAAGGAGGGCGATGAGCGCAACGCGACATTGAGCCCCAAAGTTTCACTTGAGGTCGGCGGTATGAGCGCCCATGCTGGGGCGCGCGCCGTGTCTGCAGGGGCCGCCGGGGACGGAAGGCCAGGGATTGGAACCCTGATGACTCCCCCGGACAGCGGCCCAGCCTCAAAGAAGGCAGCTGTGACCCAGGACATGGGAGCAGCACTCGTGGTCGTCGTAGACAGTAGTAGGTCTGAGGAGGAGGACAGAGGAGCGGAGACGAGTGATGAAGAGGAGGACAGAGGAGTCGATACTGATGAGGAGGAGGACCACATGCCTACAGAAAACGACCCGTGGGATTATGAGGGCTGTGATCCGGGGATCGGGACCTCGAAGAATCCAGTTCTCTGCGGTCCGGGCTGTGATCCAGGGATTGGTGCTCTGACGAATCCAGCTCCGTGCGGCCAGAGCCGTGATCCAGGGATCGGTGCCCTGACGAATCCAGCTCTTTGTGGCCTGACGTCTGGCACATCCTCCAGGGCCC